GAGTAAATCGTTAACCAAGCTCAGGATGAAATTGAAATTGGTATTGTTGGAAAGCGGAAGTCCTCTTTCGAACGATGCAATTTCTGTTTCCGTGCGATGTATAATTTGAGAGATATAAGCGTTTGAAACAACACCACTCGAAATTGGTACTTTTCGACCGAATGAGAATGAGTTAAGGAATAATGCTGCAACACTGCTCGTGCAAAGAGTTTCTATCCCTGCTCCCCACTTATGTGTTATTCAGGTGTGCATATCCACAAGGACTTCAGCCAAGATTTTGCATTAGTTCTGTTTAAGTAGTGGCTTTCCCTCAACCATTCTAGCAAATAAAATGGAAAAAGCAAACAAAATATTTACTCTGTCTAATGCCAGACAATTTTACTCAACGTTGGTACAGTAGTGCCAGTAAATGTGTCAAGCCTGACAAAACCTAATCTTCAATGGCCCCTTATCAGGTAGACCAATACTTACAAATAGCTTGGAAAGTATGTCTCAAGCATATAAACATACAGATAGAAACAATATAATGGTTTCCCTATGCAACAAGATACTCATCTACACTAGAAATATATGCATGCATGCAACAACCCCTCGCCTATATTTTCCAAACATTGTTTCAACATGAAGTATTCGTAATTATGCCAACACTGAATGCAAGCTCGCGTTGCCATGTGAGCTTTGGTGTGTGATGGCCATGTGAGGACGGACGCCATTTTGTGAGCTCCGAAATGTATTGAAGTATTTCTTTCCTATTTAATGTGTTTTGATGTATTTTGTCATTGATTTTAATGATGAGTAAAGACTATCTCACTTACGATCAACTCAGAGCTATTTTGGATGAAAAACTTGCGCCCTTGCAGACAGAAATGAGGGATCTTAAAGCGTTCGTAGAGGAAGCAAACAAGAAGTACGATGATGTCATAATAAAGTTACAGGATTTTGAAGTATCGTTGCAGGACATCATCGCTGAGAATAATGTATTAAAGACAGCCATACAAGATATGAATTCTCAAGTAAACCAACTGAATGTTATAGGTAATGACCTTGAGCAATACACAAGGAGAGAATGTGTCGAAGTACAAGGTATTCCTCAAAGTAAAGATGAAAATACTGATGAAATAATTTTGACAGTCGGGGATCTGATGGGTCTAAAGCTCGACGAAAAGGATATTTCTGTAAGCCATAGATTACCTGTTAGCAAGAAATACAATGGAAGTCGTAGAGAGCCGGGTATTATAGTAAAATTTGTCAGACGGAATTCGAAAGATTCCTTCTACAAGGCAAGGCGTGAGCTGAAGAAATTCACAACAAAGGACCTTGGTTATAGAGCTGACAATCCTATTTACGTAAATGAAAGTCTAACAGAAAAAAAACAAGAATCTCTTATTATATTTGGAATGGTAGAGTCTTCATGAGGAAAGACCATGACAGTCCTGCCTTGCATATCAATAATATAAACAAGTTACAGGTCAGAGCTAGCCAGTTATAAATATTTGCTATCGATCAATGTTTAGAATCCTATAGCCCTTCTTATGGGCCTTGTTATAGCCCTTGTTATGGGCCTTGTTATAGCCCTTGCTACTGCATAGTCTTCTTTGTGGGACTAGTCATAGACCTTGTTATGGGTGGTTGTTATGGGGTTGTTATAAAGAGTTAGCTGTGGTTACAGCAGCCAGAAATGTTAAATATGAATATTACTAATTATCGTTTAATATGCTTGACTCCATAAGTGTACACGCCCTTGTTGTGGGGCTTCTATAGCTAGTGATATTAATGATAGGGTCACTGAGAATAGTAATTTGCCATTATTTAGTATTACAGCTCCTGTTTTAAATATTCCGCACCTTACCAATACTGATGGTTAATAGGCATATGCAGACTGATCATTATTTTGGCTATTATACAATTCATAATTTTCACTCAAATTCTGATATTGTTGAATGCAGCACAAATCACAAGGCATTCTCTGCTTTGCATTGTAATATTCGTAGTTTGTCATCAAATTTTGATAATTTTAATTGTATATTATCTGAATTAAATTACAGTTTTTCATTAATTGGACTAACAGAGACAAAATTAAGGGTAAATATGGAGATGCTAATAAATGCCAAGATGCCAGATTATATATACATTTCTATTCCAATTTAGCCTTTCAAATGCAGGTGGTGTTGCATTCTATGTAAAAGATGATTTACAATTTATTTCTAGCCCTGAGCTTTCCATTTCAACTCTTGATTTTGAGGCATTATGGATAGAAATCAATGTTGTATAGGTCAAGATAACTTAATTTGTGATGTCATCTACAACATCCACAAAGCAACTTTGATAAATTTATGGAGTATATTAATTGCACAATTGAGGCTATTCATCAGGAAAGCAAACTATGTTTATTTATGGGTGACTTCAATATTGATTTATTAAAAAGTAATAGTCATCCTGAATCAGAAAACTTCATCAACACTCTTGGCTCATTCTTTTTTCAACCCCAAATTCTCCAGCCTACTGGAATAACATCTCATTCAGCTACTTTAACAGATAATATTTTTCTCAACTCCATCGAACATAATTACCTCATAAGTGGTAATCTCATATATGATCTAACTGATGATTTACCTAATTTCATTATACTAAATAAATTTTCTGATTTGCCACCCAACATAAAATTATATAAAAGGGACTATTCTTACTTCAACGAACATGACTTATTTGACGAAGTATGATTGACTGGAATATTTTATTTGAGACAAATATGGATCCATCTTGTCTGTCCATAGGCAGCCCAAACCGGCATGTAGAATGCACCAAATGCTTCCAAATGCCAATTTATATTAAGCTGACCCCATTCCTCAGTTATTTGTTGTGTGCTGGAAGCACTCAATGAAAAGCATTGTTCATATATATATATAGAATATACCTAAGGTTGGCAACTATATCTCAACTGATGAATATACAACTTCGGCAAAATGCAAAATACTTTGCGCACATAATTAAAACATGATAAAAAAATCATACCACATTAAACTCTGATAATTTTTCTATATACTCGCACATAAATTTTGTTTTCAAGACTGCAAGAAAACTGAAAAATTTGTACAAACATTTCATGGTCTCACGAAAATTTTGTTGTCTCCTTTTATCTACAGCAAAACAACCAGACAACTTTTGGCTACATGTACACATAATGGGATGGGAAAACATCAGACCTCTGCTTGCATACACCAAAAAATAAGGAAAACATTTGCCACAAGCAACACTGTTGGATACACTTCTGGTCAAGAAAGAGCAAGTGACCATTAAAGTTGGGGTATACTGTGA